CTGTGACAGCGTGTGTCTGCCCCTGGTGGCCCAGTGGCGCTATCTGTGACAGCGTGTGTCTGCGCCTGGTGGCCCAGTGGCGCTATCTGTGACAGCGTGTGTCTGCGCCTGGTGGCCCAGTGGCGCTATCTGTGACAGCGTGTGTCTACGCCTGGTGGCCGAGTGGTGCTATCTCTGACAGTGTTGGGTGAACATAGGTGGTCACCTCAGCAAAGTGTGAGTCACTCAGCACCTCAAGTCACCGAAGAGCATCTGACAGGCCCAGGCCCTCCTAGCCACACAGCCCAGTCTTGATTCCTCACTACATCAGCTAAGTCTTGATTTAAGCAAAAGGATACACAGTGGGGAGCCCTACTATTATTCCAAATACCATTACTCACTATAGGCTTTAGAACAAAGGAAACAGAGACAAATTAAACAAAAGAAACAAAATACCTAGTAAGGACATTTCTGTCAGTGGTTGGTGGTTAATGACAGAGTGACCTGGATAAGGACTACTTATTGCTAAAGGCATGCTCCAATGCAGAGAGCAGGGAAAGTGAAAGAAAATTCAACACACAAAACCAACATTCCTCTTTCTTGCCTGTGACAGCAAGCCAAAATGTCAACACCAGCTCCTGAACTTGACTTTCTATATAAACGAGCAGCATTAGCATTTCTCTAGAGGAAAGGATAGAAAGTAGTTCATAATGAGGTAAGATTTGGAATTAGAAACACAAACTGGTGTGCTTCAACAAAGCCGGATTATTCAGTGCAAACAATATACCAGCTGCCAGCTAAGTGAAAAGACAACCAAGTCTCCAGCGCCGAGGGGCCCGGCACGGTGGGCATTACACAGCAAGTTACTGTGCATCAGTTCTCCTGTGTGTCCAGAGAAGGGACAGCTTAGCCTTGACACCAACAGGTCTGCACACAGATACCTCAAAGTAACCTGAAAGTCTATTCATGTCCTTAGCCCACTTTTTGATGGGATTGTTTGTTTCTTGCTAATTAGTTTGATTTCACTGTAGATTCTGGATATTAGTCCTTTGTCAGAGGTACAGATTGTGAAGGTTTTCTACCACTCGGTGAGTTGTCTTTACTCTGTTCTTTTGCCATGCAAAAGCTCTTCAGTTTAATTAAGTCCCAGCTCTTTACCTTTGTTTTTTTTAATTGCTTTTGCTTTTGGGTTCTTGTTTATGAAATCCTTGCCTAAGCCAATGTCTAGAAGGGTTTTTCCAAAGTTATCTTCTAGAATTTTTATAGTTTAGGCTTAAAGTCTTAGATTTAATTTTTGTAGTCTTAGATTTAAGACCTTGATGCATCTTGAGTACCACTTGCTCCCCAATAACCAATGAAAAAAAATTAAAAATACAAAAACACAAAATAAAATTCACTTAGCACGCAATTGCACTATGTCTGAACTTCTTTGAAAAATGAATGCCTTTCGACTATTAAAATTAATTTTTAACTATATATCCAAAAATTGAATATTATTAATAAAGATTCATTGAACTTAGTAGTTGCAGTTCCAGAGAAAGAGTGTCAGGTGTGCAGCTCTTAGAATATAAGCTACTAAGATGCAGGGACTCTGTCTGTGCGAATCACTTTGCTCAACACCGAAAGCATGTCAATGAGAAGTGAAATACTCACAAATACTTTTTTGATGAAGACGACAAGGACTCAGGGCCCTTGATTGGAAAAGATGGATATCCAAGGTGAACCAGGTATCTTAGAGAAGAAATTCGGAGCACCTCTTACCAAATGTTGGGAAGAGCAGAAGCAAAGCCAGACCTCAAGCTAACGCCAGCATCCAAAAAGGGGCCAGGACTCCCTGTCTCTAGGTCTTTCATTCCCACTTTCTTGGTGTCTTGGCTTCATCTCCAAACTGAAATCCTTTTCTTCCCTAGAGCAGGAAATATGACTCCAGTAGTTCTCCGCTAGCATCGTGCTAAGCTGAAACGTAAAACTCTCCTCTCCTACTTAGTTCTATGTGTGGTCCAACAGAATCAGCTGCCTACTCGAATCAGTCCTGTGCCGGGGTGTGGCGTTCTGATTACCCACGCTGGGCCATGGATTTCCTCTTTTTTCCTACCCTTAACGTGGGAGGCAGAGACTGATGAGTTGGGTGAGGAAAGAGCAGTGGTTCCTGCAAAGGAAAGGAAAATGCACTGGAGTCCAGAAACGGGGAGAAGCAATGAATATTAAAAGAAGTAGAGTGATGTTAGGGGAAAAATAGCAAAACTAGGATGGATTCCCACATGTCTCCGCAGGAGCACTAGAGATTCCCATGTGTGAATACACACGAACACTTTTTATAGATGTAATTTCTCTTTGTGTGAAACTGCATACCCAATTGAATTCATACCTGAATGCATACTGCAGTCACCCACTACCACAAATGTTGCAGCTGAGTTTTCCACATTTGGGGCAATTACAGGGATCAGCACCTGTAATGGATCCAGAGAGTAATGGCTAAGCCTCGTACTGGGAAAACTGCCTTTAAGATCATGGTATCTGCCCTTCCAGGTAAGTATGAAACTGGATATTTCTAAGGCACATTGAAACAAACCTCCTTTTTAGCAACAAGTTATGGGTGTTTTGAAAAGCCACGATTGCAAAACACATAGAAATAGAAGATAAACTACAGTAAACATGGATTGAAATGCATAGTTGTGCTTCCAAGAGAATAAGAGAAATACCCAGGGGAAAATGACAAAGCAGAAAACCTGAATGATCAATGAATACAAAAACAATGACTGCTCTGGAAACATTTGCAAATCTCAAGAATCTAGAGGCTTGAATTTGAAGGCTGTGCAGCATAGCAGAAGACAAGGCTTTAGGTCACTGCAAGTAGATACCTCTGCATAAATTCAGAACTCATTAATCAAAAATTAAAAGCTTCTAACAAAAGTAAAGAGATTTTAAAAAAAGACATTTGTTCATCTCGTTTATTGCAGCATTATTCACAATAGCCAAGAGGTAAAAGCAACCTAAATATCTGTCAACAGATGAATGGATTTTAAAATGTTGTATATACACAATAAATTATTATTCAGCCTTAAAAAAGAAGGAAATCCTGTCATACGTCATAACATAGATCAACCTTGGGGATATTATACAAAGTGAAATAAACCAGTCACAAAAATACAAACACAGTATGGCATGAGTTTTCCTATATGAGATTTTTAAAGTAGTCAAACTCTTAGAAACAGGAACAGAAAATAATTGGTGCCAGGAACTAATGGAGGGGGAAAGGAGGAGTTGTTCAATGGGTACAAAGTTTTATACGTGAATCCCAAACTCTAATCCTACTCAAGCTGGCATAGAGGATAGAAACAAAGATAAGATTATAGATTTATGAGCAATAAAGAGTAGTGCAAACCAAACATTCTATACCTAGCCAAACTGTCAGTCATATATGGAGACAAAAAGAGAAAAAGAGTCACAAACATGCAGGACCATAGGACTTATCATTTGTTCAACCTTACTGAAAAATTATTCTCCAAATGAAAATAAATGTGGCCAGACACAGTGGCTCACACCTGTAAACCCTTTGGGAGACCCACATAGCTGGATCGCTTGAGGCCGAGAGTTCAAGACCAGCCTGGGAAACATGGTGAAACCCAGTCTCTGCTAAAAACACAAAGATTGCTTGGGCTGTGGTGGTGCATGCCTGTAATCCCAGCTGAGGCAGGAGAATCATTTGAACCTGGGAGGCAGAGGTTGCAGTGAGCACGCCACTGCACTCCAGCCTGACTGACAGAAGGAAACTATGTCTCCAAAAAAAAAAGAAACCAACCAAATAAAAAAATACATTTTACACTGGCAAAGATCAAATTATTTGTGATTATAATATTCATTATTTATTGAGTATATAATCTCTACCAGTGGTTTCACTAGATAATTTATAAATGTCATTTCTGTTTATCTTTCAACAGACCTCTAAATTAGATATTCTATCCACTTTATGGATAAGAAACCTAAGAGAATTGACTAACCCACTTTTAGATTTCTCCTCTATGAAGTTGATAAATAGCTCATTTAGAGGCTTTGTAATTTGCAAAATATTATACTGCTAGAATTGGAAATTGATCCTGGTACTTTTTGATCTTTTGAATTAAAGTTCATGCTGAAGTGTGTTGGGTTGACAGGTATTCTTAAATCTAGCATTGGGCATAAGCAAACTGGCATCTTTTTCTACTGGAGTAAAGGAGCCAGACCACCAAAATAATCAGTTCTTTAAACCTCCTTTCTGATGACTCACATCCTCAAAACTTTATCAGCTCTTAACATGATATCATGTACACAGGAAAAATACAATGTACATTTTTTAAAAAAATTGAGTGGATTTTAAGAGGTATATAGCAGTCACAGATGACATCCAAATTGTTTCATTCCACGCGTGGAGATTTCCATCTTCCACCACCACTACCTCCACCTTCCTGCTCTTCATTCCCCCTTACTTTGCTGATCTACTTACTGCTTTTCTCTCTTCCAATTCAGACTCACAGTGACAGGATAGGACAGAAAGAGGTAGAAATCACAAGGTTTGCATCAGCTGGAGAATGGGGTCTACGCAAACCTTTTAACCACTTTTTCTCAGGGGTAGACTTGATCCTCAGATGCAGATTTTTTGTGCTGGACCTATTTTGGTTCCTCTTCAGTCATGCTTGCTCCTAAGCATCACCTGCTCTGACTTGTAAACATTGTTCTAACATCCCCTAACACCAAGGAGTTAACTGAAGCTCTGAGAGGCCTGAAGGTCGGTCATGAAACTTCACATTATTTGACTTTAAACAAATCTTGAAAGATTCATCCCCCTCAACATGGCACCTGTGTGCATGCAGAAGCACTTCCTCACACCACTACAAAAGCAGCAGCAGAAATCGAGGGATTCCCCTCCTTTCTCTGGGCTCCAGGTCTGAATTGCCAGGCCTGCTTTGTCAGCAGTAATGTTGTGCTATGTAAGAATGATGGCTGGGTGGGGCTGGACTTTGCTATGGCACATAAGGGATGAAAGTGAGAGGTATTTCTTAATTAAAAGTATACATCCTTTATGCTTCAAAGGTTGGACTCACATTTCTCAATTCCATTTTTGCACAAAAATCTCACAGTGTCATTAATGGATTTGTGCAGTGCATTGATAGTGTCATAACCTATCAACTCTAACCTGATTAAACATGTACTTGCCATTTAAAAAATGAGAAAACTGGCATACATGCTTCAGCAAAGTATCTGCCACACCTGCAGTGTGTATGGAGCTGGTTTAGTTAGAGACATAATGTCTTTTGCATAGTATAAACAAAGTTGCATTTCATCTGAGCATCTCATTTGATAGATTTCCTGAGACTTATTTGCTACTGTTCTTTCCTTTGTGACTGTCTTTACAGAATTAATATTTTTATTACTATTAGAGAATTAATTATAGTTTAGCACCAAATTGAAACTGCAATCTTATTCCATCACATTTTGAAGTCAGTGTTGCTTACAGCTCCTTTTGAAGATAATTAGGCCTCACAGAAGGAGTCAAGATCTCCATTTCCTGAACACGCAGAAAGCAGAAATTACAATACTGTGACTGACCCTGGCTGTGTCTGAGGTGACTGTGTTGGTAATCAGTTGATTAGCACCAAGTTCTTAGGTGGCCAGTTGCACAGAACATCACCTACGTTACTAAATAAAAAGTGACTTGGGGTCTATAGGGTGATGTGGAGGGTTGATGGCAGTGCTGTGGGAACAAGACTTGGATCACGGAGAGAAAGTCTATATCAAGCAATGTAGTGATATATTTTATTTTATTTTTATTTTTTAAAGCCTACAGCACCCGGTGTTCCCAGGAGGTCTCCCATCCAAGTACTAACCAGGCCCGAGCCTGCTTAGCTTCCGAGATCAGACGAGATCGGGCGTGTGCAGGGCGGTGTGGCCGTGGACGGTGGTGACATATTTTCAATCATACAATTTCTATAACAGGTCAACTGCAATTCACACACAGTTAACCCAACCGTAAAGTGAGTACTGGGTAAAAGCAGTCATATCTTTATTCCGAACCATCTAAATTCACTTATTTTTATAAATATGTTATTTCATCCTATCAAAAAAATTCTACTCTGATTCCATAAAACAACTCCTGCACTGCTTTGTAGGTAAAACTATCAATTTGCATAATCACTTCATTTGAAGTTATGAAACTGCTAAGCCTGCAAAACTGATTAAGCTGCTTTTTACTAAATTCTAATCATTAAGTGTAACAATATTTTTCGTTCAAAAAAGGTACCAGTTTCCTGGAAGTATTCTTCATGGCTTTATTTCCTCTGCTAATTGATCCTGGTCATTTAATTTAATAGCTTTTATAAAGTTAAAATTATAAGAGTTTAATTGACTTTTGCTTAGCTTCCAATTATGTCTAATTTGTTTCTATTCAGTCTCATTAAATCCAGTTATGGTTGGACTAATAGTAATTGCTCCCAATAGTTAATTTACTTTAAAATAAGGACTCTGTCTTCTGTTATCTTCAAGGAATTTTTCACAGGGCTAGGTTAGGCTTCTTAATCCTATTAATACAAATGGCGTCCTACGTGTATGAATCAGTTTACCTTTAGTACAAAGGCCATCCCATGTCACCTAGCAAAGCCAGCACGTCTCTAGAGGCGGTACAGCCGCTGCGGAGGTGGCCCCCAGTAGCATCATTAATATCTATTGTAACTGGCAGGCAATCACTTAGTTTCACATTTAATTACCCGAGTCATACAAATGTGTAAAAAAATACGGAGTTTTAATTCAATGGGGTAAAGGATAATATGAGTAATATTCACAAATAACATTTGGAAGAGGTAGAATTTTCCCAGAAATGATGCATTCCTGGAGCAAGCTTATTTTGTGTTTGGTTTATTAAGTATCTATTTCCATTTTGACAAACCACTGGAAAAGCCCCGCTTCACAAGGACTATCCATGTGAGCCATCATACAAAAGAACACCCGCCACACAAAATCAAAACAAAAGTGGTCCAGGCTTCACATTAAAGATTCATTACCGAGTTTTCTTAACAGAGATAAAGAAAACGAGGTTACTTTTATATTATGAAAAACAGAGAGAAAGAAGAAATGGGACAAAAAGTGCTAGGAAACAACAGTGGAAAACAAGCTGAGGGAAAAAATGAATGCGATTATGTTTTTTTGGTATTAATTTCCTATCCTAAAATCCGAAAATACTGAAAAGAACAAAGCACATTTTTTGAGACACATAGAACATAAAACAAATTATTGTTAAAGATAATTTTGCAGTGCTAACAAAAATATCTGTGACTTGTTTCTTCCCATTAAAAATAAGATTTTGTACAATTGCGTTTACATAAATGATTGAAATAAAATTGTAAAGACAGAGAACAGACTACGCGTGCTCAGAGAAGGAGCGAAGGAAAAGGTGTCAGAGTGGTCACAAAGACAGCAAAATGGAGCCTGGTGGGGAGGCTACAGTTCTGTGTCTTGATTGTAGAGGCGGCAGCTACGTAGATCTACATGTAGATCACATGTAGATCAACGTGTGCATAGAATGCACACACACACACACACAAATGCATACAGAACTGTTGAGATCTGAGTACGCTCTTCGAATTGTACGTATGTCAGTTTCCAGGTTTGATAACGCGCTATAGCTACACCAGATGTCACCACTGGGAGAATTGGCAAAGAGCAACTAAGGCATCCCTGTACCTTCTGCAACGTCCTGCGAGCCTGTAATTATTTCAAAAGAAGCTTGAAAGTCAAGTATAGCAAGACCTAAATCCATCACTTTAAAGAAGAAACAATGAAAGATTAGTGACATTGCTGAAGAACATCAAATATTCAGTAATCCACATGAGAGGTAGATTCTGTCCACTCACAGCACAGCTGGCATTTAGCCTTTTTCTGATGTACCCTGTAGGGCTTGAGTGCCCTTGGATTGCCAATGTCTATAATGTTGATTTGTTACTAACTTTGTACTGAACCCAAAAAATGCAAAATAATTGAATAGTCATTTATATAACAACTAGTGTTTTTACTTATAAAGAGACAATAGTGGTAACAAATTTAAATATTTGGAGTAAAGGATGGGATCTTGGCAAGATAATAATGGCAAAATATAAAACAGAAAAAATAAAGGAATCAGAAACATAAGTAGTTCAGTATCATGAAAAAATTCTGGATGTGAGAAGCAAGAGAACAGAGATTCTATTGTGTTTCGGCTTCAAACCTGCTGTATCACCTTAAATAATATGTGCCCTTTCCCTGTATCTGTTTTCTTTTCTACAAAATAAAGTGAACTGGATCATCTTCAAGGTCCCCCAAATATTCACATTCTTTGACTCTACATGGACTTCAGTTGAATTCCTAATTTCAATTTGGATAATACTTGTGTGCTGCACCACAAGAGGTATGCCTAAACACTCACGTTGGTCCTAGTAAATAATTAAATCTAGCATTTGGCAGCTGGAAACCATTGAAATCTTTGAAGTATTCCTGAAGCTTATTCTATCAGTGTATCAAGATAAAATTCTAAACCTGATAAAGTCTATTAACAACTATCAGTGCTGTGTTATCTCCGAAGACCTTGTAAGGATAATGATAAGAAGTGGATCAAGTAAAACAGCCTGAATTTACTCCCAAGAGCCACTAAAATGATTAACTATTCCATCCACGAAAATACACTATGTGAAACTATCTAAACTTGCAGTTTCTGAGCTGACATTATTCCAATTCTTTATGGGAGTATTAATTGCGTTTTCATTTGGCTAAGCATCATGAATAATGGCAGACTTACAATTTACTGCCACTTCTTTATATGCCAGTTTAAACTTGTGATCATAACAATGTCAACTTCAATATTCCCACCAAAAGCAATTTTGGAAAAGTACCCCTTATGCAACACGAAGCTAAAGATCTAGGATTTCATAAATAATCAAAAGCTGAAAGGTAGCACCAGTAATCTCTGTTAGTTGTGCAAAAAGACATCAAGTTTAGTATCAACTTAATAAAAAAAAGGTAGCCCTTAACCAGCAACTGAACTTCAAAGTCATCACATTGCTTGCAACTGAAATATGAACCGATTCACAAATACAGACGATGGTCACATGAACATCCCTGCTAAACTCTACGTGACCTCACCAAGAGAGTAACCAGGGCGGAGGGCAGAGATGATAGCTGTCTCTGTATCTCCATCAGGCCAGGGAGCAGGATCATGCCCGCATGGCTCCTTCCCATCTGTTTTGACCATCCAGGCAGACCTGAAGTGAAACAAAATGAAAGCACCAACCGTTTCCTTGGCTGTATTTTTCTTAGTTTCTTACAGAGAAACACCTAGTCACACTGCCACTGACTGCATTCCGAACCGGAATTTTGCATTCTCATGCTATGGGTTACAAGAGGCAAACAGCAACGTAGATCCATCACGATCACCGGATTCAATGCACGAAAGGCGCTTGTATGGATGGCTGATCAGAACCATAACATGATTTGGGGGCATCAGAAGCCCTACTTGACTCTCATTTTCTAACATTTTCACAGGATGCTGGCTGAGCTCCAGCTCACTTCAGGCACAACTGGATAGGCTACAGCTAGGCCAATCCATAAACTCACCGGCAGCCCAGAGGTGGCCTGACACCAAAGGTTCTGCACAAGCAGGAACAAAATGAGCTGATAACTCCATTTGCATTCTGTTTGTATCCCATATGTTATTTCCACAGAGCGGTAAGAGTTTCTGCTGTACTGCGCACACGTATTGCTCACTTTCTTTGCTGCCGTGATCTGATGGCTTTAAAAGGGGCTTTCCCCTCCTTGTTTGGCACTTCTTTCTCCTGCTGGCATGTGAGAAGGACGGGTTTGCTTCTCCTTCCACTATAACTGTAAGTGTCCTGAGTCTTCCCCAGCCATGCAGAACTGTGAGTAAATTAAAACTCTCTTCTTTATAAATTATCCAGTCTCGGGTATTTCTTCATAGCAGCATGAGAATGGACTAACACAAAGACTGAAAAAAATTAACCCCAAAGGAGAAAAGAACACATGGAAAGAGTAGCAAAGAACCAAAAACTGGAAAACAGTAAAATAGCAGGCTTAATGCTAACCAGGTTGTTAATTACATTAAATGCAAATGGACTAAACACTGTATTTTTAAAAAAGAAATTTTCATATTCGATAAAAATTCAAGAACTTATAAAATGCAATCTACAAGAAATTCACTTTAGATATAAGGCGGATATAGAATAAAAACAAAAAAATTAAAATAGACTTACAATATAAAAACTAATACAAAAAATGAAATGCTATTATCAGATGAAGTAGACTTGGGATAAAATATGTTATTAGCAATAAAAAGAGATACTCCATAATGACAAAGAGTAAATTTACCAAGAACATATAACAATCATAAATATGTACAAATCTAATAATACAACTTCAAGATGTATGCAGCAAAAACTACCAAAACTTAGAGAAGAAATAGACAGATGTCAACACTTCTCTTTTGAAAATTGATAGAAGTAGCCTTTAAGTCAGTAAGGATAATGAATCTTCATAATGCTATGAAATCTTGACCTAGTTGACAGCATATTACACATTTGCTTTCATTTGTATGTGGTGGATTCACCAAGATGGGCCACATAACTCTATTTACTGCTATTTAAATCTCAATAAATTTAGTACTATTGGTGTCGTGAAGTTAATTTTCTGATTGGAATAAAAAATTAATAACAACTTATTTTAATTTGCTAAATATTTGGAAATTAAGCAACACATTTCTAAATAATCTATGAGTCAGAGAAAAACATAAGTAAAGCTTGCAAATAGTTTATATATGTGCTGCAAAAAGCCCAGAAAAAAGTCCTTGCTTGTCCTTGTTCAGCCTAGGCTTCTGTTAGTCACAGGCTTGGCACACAGTCGACTCCTCACCAATGTCTGCG